CTGCCAGCCTTTTAAGCCTTTCTCACCCTTCTTACAGAGCGTATAAAGAACTTCTCCCTACTGTGATTTTTTTTTTTAAGCTGCATAATGCCGTAAGATCCTGCAAGGTAAAAGAACCCCCTCCTTTTTACCATTTCAGTGTTAATGTGAAACCATGTCACATGAAAATTTAATCTGGAAATTTATCATTTAAACTTTGAAAGGAATACGCGGAAAATGGTGACTTACAGCCTGTTTTTTCCCTTCAGAACAGATAAAATCCCACGTACAGCACGCCGATTCATGCATTATTACTTAGCTGAGGTTTGCAACACCACTGAATCACCCACTGCTCTGTAGCTACGCGAGAACAAAGACAAGCAACAAGCAGATGATGTGTTGCGCTGAAATAAATCATGTGCAGCCAAGTTTAAATATTTTACCAAACAGGGCCAAATTATATATAAATGATTTGGAGACTTAAGAGTGCCACAGACTATTCATGGCTGGAAACTAACATACATCTTGGAATTACAGATTACTTCCAGTTTGCTAGTGATGTCAGATTTAATCAGTAGTGGAATAGCAAGGGAGAAATGGGGAAAAAAACGTATGTTTAAGTGAAAGTTGCAAGTGAATTTAGATTAGATATCAGGAAGAAATTCTTCACAGAGAGGGTGGTGAGGCACTGGAACAGGTTGCCCAGAGAAGCTGTGGATGCCCCATCCCTGGCTGTCTTCAAGGCCAGGCTGGATGAGGCTTTGAGCAACCTGGTCTAGTGGAGGGTGTCCCTGCCCATGGCAGGGGGGTTGGAACTAGATGATCTTTAAGGTCCCTTCCAAGCCTAACCAGTCTAGGATTCTATGAAAAGTCCTTGGTTACTTGTAAATTCCAAAAGCTCTGAAAGCAAACAGCCACTCGCCTGTGACATGCATCTCTCATGACACGTGGAAAGTACGTGTTTGCTTGCTGAGATGGGGCAGGAACAGCTTTTCCAAACCCCGACCAGGATCCTCACCTACCTGCCTGCATGCGGGTGGGTGGGTGTGTACTTTCTGTGTCCCTTCCGCAGCGCGATCCCATTAGCTGTACGACAGTAAATCACCTCTGGAAAAAGTCCAGCCTGGGATCAGCATGGCCTCACTGTGGATCCTCGGCAGTGTCAATCATGTGTGCCGCTGACAGGAAGGTTACACCAGTGTAGAACTGGCACACGACCAGATTCTGACCTCCAGCTATTAGGATGCATGTGTTTTAAAGGGAGGGCGAACAGTCGTGTGTTCACCGGGTGCCTGGGAAAGCAGCAGGCTGCTGCTGTACTTCCAAGTGTGGTACTGCAGGAGAAAATAAGCAATAATGGTAGGAGAGTGGCAGCTGTCGCATGCCGAATAACCTGTCGAGGATGTGCTGTGATTTCAGCACGCGGGACAAGCTACCCGGGTTGTCTTAACCACTCCTTATGTATTCCGTGTAGGTTCGAGCTAGTGCGATTGCTCAGGATGCTGATCAGAACTACGACTACGCCAGTAACAGTGTGGTTCTCCATCTGGAGCCGGGAGACGAAGTTTACATTAAATTAGACGGAGGGAAAGCACACGGAGGCAACAACAACAAATACAGCACATTTTCTGGATTTATTATTTATGCTGACTGATGATGAGTCAAGAGACCCACCAAACCGGCCCAGAAATGAAGCTCGCTCCTGCAAGCCATGGATTTGCGTGGCAGAAGTCAACGAAACAAGCACCCCCGCAGAGAGCGGCCACCGAACACCTCAGCCGCGAGGGGAAACCAAGTCGAACGCTACCTGATGCACATCTGTACGACACAGAGACGCTCACGTTCCACACCAAGTTAAACAGATGTGCCATCCACTACCGCCAAAGCAAGTACTTCCTCATTGTTAGTGTCCGTGTGAATCGAGTCCTACATAGGTCAGATTTTTATAGAGAAAACCCCACCTAAGGACACCGAGTTACTTCTTCAGTGTATATGATACTTTGATGTGTTAGGATCTTGCTGCTTTATCCATACTTCAGCTTTGGTTCTTGTGACTTACTGCTAACAATGATGCTTGGGGTCCACTCGTAGTGTGGTGAGGAATGATTTTACAATAAAAGGAAGAGGTAATCAAAATATACCTTCTCTCTCCAAAGGAATTGTTTGCCTTGTACTTTTCTCATCCTTCCACTTAAAACTAGAAACTAATCAGCTTCAAGCCTTAACTCGATGTTCCCGCTTCGTAGGTTCGCATTAGACTTTTAACATAAAAGCAGTCCAGCGGAGTTGTTTAAATTCTGTCTTCCCCTTGGCTGTGCTCTAAAAGAAAAAGGATAGATGAAACACTTCTTATTTTCTCCCTGAAAAATACAGCAGTTGACAAACTAGCCTGTTGGACCAAATCCCTGATTCCACCAAAGCCAATGGCGAAACTCCCATTGATATTAGTGGAAAAAGGATTTGGCTTTTAGTTTGTAAATGTGTAAATATATGTTTAGACAATTATTACAGGCCCGTTCTTGACGGTGAGTTGTGTAAATATTTAGCAAGCCTGGCACCCACATCCTCAGACGGAGGTACAGTGGTTTTTTTGCAGCAATTAGTCTTCATTAGCCTTTCAGCACTCAGTCTGTACTTGGGTACTATTTTTAATAAAATAGTTAAGGCTTCACGTACTGCAGATGTTCAGCTAGGATGTCGTAGGAATGGGTCAAAACCTTCTTTGTCTTAGGTGTCTTGTCTCACTGCAGTTAGTGGGATTATTCCCATACGGGAAGAGTGGGAGACCTGCCACGTGAGAAAATGCCGTCACACAGGCCTTTTCCATGGGAAGGCAGTTACCAGTTTGCAGTAGGAGCGGACACAGATAAGCGTATTACCAAAAATGATAGCACATATGCAAAGAAAGAAGCAGATATTTACATGCAAAAAAAGTGTGTATTAAAGCCTATTTTCTCATTCATATATATATTGAGAGATATATATATATATATAAAGTCTCAAAGGAGTTTAATCCATAGAAAGGATTAATGGCTTGGAGAATTAAACTAAACACAGGTATCATGAGTTACATAGTTATAAAAATGCTTTAAGATCAGTCATACCAGTAACGTGGGTTTCTTTTTTTCTTTTTTTTTTTTCAGAAAATGGATTTATTATTTGTTTTAGTTTGGGGAGGGGAGACTGTCTATTTCTCTCAGGTTAAAACGTGCAGATTTCATTCTAAACCTAAATTTCAACGAGACAATTAACCAGCTCCTTAGCACAGCTGGTTATGTTACTTATTTTTAACATTTTGGCCAAAATCAAGGTAACATGTCTACCAATTGTTGAAGAGCAGTGGAGGCTACCTACCCCTACCATTTCTATTCCATATAATTTGCCACAAGCGACCTTGTCTAACGTACTAAGGGTACAGACTCTGACTGATCGGCACTAAAATGCTGAAAGTGTCGGCCGCTGTGACAAAACAGCTCCTCAGTGCTGGCTGCTCAGTGAAAGTCTGATGGAGATTTTACGAATCTCTCTCTCAAAAAAAATCTCGTTTGAATGAGTGAAGCTTTTCTTAAATAGAACCTGTTCCTCTCTCCGTTTTGATTGGTCTAATTCAAAATAAATGCTGGGTTAGTCTAGGCCGACAGAGAGCATCGCCCGTCTAACTCACCTCGGGTTTATAAAGAGACATTGTGCTGCCAGTCGCCTGTGTATTATCCCACCAGAACGGTTGATGACAAGGTGCCAGCCTCTGCCTGTACACCGTAGCGATTACTCCTCTCTCCTTTTTTTTCTAGGAGGTAATGTATTTTAATAACAGATGTGTAACTCACTCACGTCTGTTCGCTCCGCTGTTGCTGTTACTGGTTAGCGTGCTCACAACAGCGGCGTAGTGAGGCATTTTCTACGTCGTACCAAACAGCAGGGTACCAAGCTGGAGCTCGTTTACAACTAGCAATGCGTATTTAGTAAGGTATTTGTTGGAAAAGCTCAATACTACAAGATGTATACAGTCAAATTTGAAGCAGCTTTTGAAATCAGGCTACCACTGCTACTGGGTAAGACCATTTTTTGGATAAATCACCTGCACTCGTGTGCTGGTTTTAGTTAAACCTTGTCAGACAGGAGCAAAGAACACACTTTATGTGAAAAACACATAGAAGGCAAACATTTCTTCCTTTTTCATCATATCTTGATATACTGATTTGTAAAGACTTATATCACGACCTTTGTTATAACTATTGCAACTCATTAAAACTGTATTATGTAATAGATCTTGACTTTTGGTGGTGCATCCTTACAAAAAAGAAGCTGGTCTGCCGGAAGTTTCACGTGATTGCCGTGGGATTCCAAAGGATAACAAAGTAACGCGATTCAAAACAGACACCCCTAATAATACTGCACACCATTTAAAAGGTCATCAAATTGCTTTATTCAAAAATATAATTTTCCATGTATTTTTTTTACACGTTCAGTTAAAAATAAGTAAATTGTTAAGCTAGAAAGAAACAGCATCTTTTCAGAATTCTCCGAGATTTCTTTTGCCTTGTGATGTCAACGGGAGCTATTTACAAGCTCCAGACCTTTCGTCAAGCATTATTTAAAGAATATAAGGATAATTAGAAGACCGTCAATATTACAAGGATTAAAATCGCCTCTTGGAGAAGGGGAATTCAAATTGAAAACTGCAATTTCCTTCAAACTCCAGATGAGGCATCTTCAAAACTATTTTGGGGTAAGTTTTATTAATAGTATCAGATTATTCTCCAGAAACAATTATTTTAAAACTCCTGTTGAAAAGATTTGCAGGTAGGCTCATAGACACTAAATCATTCACAAACAGGGAGAAAAGGCAGAAAGAATACTAAATTTTATTGTTCTAATTAAAAGTCATCATCAGTTTGTTCGCATCTAATTAATAACTCCCAGTTCCCTTAAAGAACCAAGTTTTAAAATGACTGCGTTCCTGAAACATATCTGAATTTCATCAAGCTTTCCTGTAGAACAGGCCTATTTATTCATTATTCCTACTTAAAAGTCAGCCACCGCTTTGGATTTGCTAGGAGTATTTTATCAATTTTATCTTGGGATATGCCTCTAATTAGCATTTTAGGAACTATATTTTTCAGGATATGTGAATATCCATGACCTCCGTATTTCATCAGCCTGTTCTTAGTGTGGACATCGTGAGCCATCAGAATTCTGTCTTCATAGCCTTCACCGATCAGCGTACGAATCCTGCAACAGTACACAGCAAACACGTCAGGGAAGGTTCTCCCCCCCAACAGCCCTGAGCTGAGCAGGATGTAATGTTTTTATGTTACTGTACTGCTGGACTGCATTATTACTGAAAACACTTATTTTTAGGTGCTCAGAAGACATATTCCTTATATTTAATTGAAATTAAACCACTTACTTTATTGAATGAAAAAACACCTCTGAAAACATACCACCACACATCTCAAAGGAGACATGGAAAACTGTTTCCAGCTGGCACATGACTTTGCATTCCCAGTCCCATTAAGTCCATGGAGGAGTTCAGGAACTTCAGCACCACCAAGCATGGGACACAGGTTTTACAGACATGACTGAGTTACAATTTCCTACGTAAACTCCTCCTCGACACGATCAATTCATTGGGTCAGTTCTTGCTGCTGTCACAAAGCTGGTCCCATGACATTTGCTAAGGACCAGACTCCGTGTGTGACAGGTCTGTTAGGAAGCCTGTCTCTTGTACACAATACTTAATGTATTTGTAAGTTAATTCCCACTTAACAAGGCAGGTTAATAAGAATTTTAAGTTGTCAGCACCCTATTCCGTACAGACAGTTACCATCCACACAGGTTCCAAAGAGGTTCATAAAAGGAGGAGATAAACAAGACGGGCATTGCACAGTGCTAGCGTATGCCAGGAGGTCAGAGGAGTTCATGCAGCAGCCCAGCTAAACAGACTTGGCAAAATCCCAAGTCAGCTGGGAAAAAGAAGTCTTCCTTCTGCTCACTCCCTTGTAACCAGTCTGCTACAAGTCCTCCTGTTCCACGTTTCACTCTGGGAACCTTAATCCCTTGCTCAACTCGCTTGTTACAGTTTATTCAGTGGATGTCTGTATGGCATGACTGCAAAGTTTCCCACTAAGCTCCAGTTTAGTTTGGCTACTGCCAGTTTAGTTTTGCAGCATTAAGGTGGCAGAGATGGACAGACCAGACTTGGAAGGCACCCAATTCCATCATCTGCCAGCGCTGGGAGATTCTAATTCTTACCTTCCTGACTGCGCTTTGATCAGTGGGAAAGCAAATACTAGTGTTATAAGCAACCATGCTATATCCAAAAGCCCTTACTGCCGGTTTTTATTACAATTCATAAGAGAGATGTAGCAGAAAGAAATCAATATGGGCAGCAGGAAGAAGGCAAGTAAGACAGAACTTGGTAAAAAAATTAGCATCATTCATAAAACCACCACAAATAGTGCCATATAGTGCCCAACACTACAGACACGGTGGGATCACATCATCACAAGTATCTCCTCCAGCCTGAAATAGAGAGACCACAAGTCAACCAGAGAATGAGAGCAATGACACTGGAGGGATTATGTTCTTTGCTGACCAAGCGTCATCTTAGAATCATCTCCTTTCATATTTGGACTCATTTCATGGGCTGGGGAGGCATATGGTCCTTAATGCTCCATATTCATTGCTGCTTTTCATTCATTCCAGTCAGTTCAGTTAATACTTGCTTCTGACTCACAGAAAAACTGCCCCTGGAAAAATTCAGCTGTTTACTTGCACTGGCAGTAGATCACAGCAGAGCCACCTAAGTAGGCAGACAGCTAAGCTGTGCTGGACTATGCATGGCACGACCACAGAAGTTTACGTTCTGAACAGACACGACCTGAACATATAATTTTCCATTTAGTATTTAGGTCAATTTGATTTCCTCCTCTCTGGTGCTCTTTGACAAAAAAAGAAAAAAAAACCCAAACCCACAGGGAGATTGCCACTGCCACCCCATGTCCAGCGTGGATGCACCAGGAGCCCAGCAACAGCAACTCAAGCGCACACAGACACTCCGTACGATGAGAGGGCAAACTTTGCCTATTTTCTTCCTATGAACAGCCTGCTGCAGGAAACACTCAAATACCAGAGCGTTTAAGGGAGATGTTGGTGGCTGAGCAACATTACGGATGGAAGGAGAACTTTGCCACGGCTGGAGAAGCACCCGCCAGGCACGGCGGAGTCCATTCCTCCAGCACACACCTTCCTGGCGGTGCGCTGTACACCCTGACCCCCCGTGGCGCAGGGGAGGGGAGCAACTTCACCCATGCTGAATGTGAAAACTGCAGATTCACTGCAGCAGTTTAAAACACCGAGTGCAAACCAAGAGCCCTGTTAAGAGTGAGGAACGATTTCTAGTGTGAAAAGCAGTAAACGCTGGGCAGTAAGTGGAACAGTAACCACAGCGCCTTCTTAAGAAGAGAAAGGCCTGAAAAGAGAGAAGTCTTGCAGCTAATCTGACAATGAGGGGCAGGGAAGCTGTGTCTGAAATAGAAGTGAAAGCTAGCAAGTTACTTCATTAGTCATCAGGGAGCATAAAATCTTTCTCAGCAAAGAGAAGAAAAGAATTTTCTGGCTCTGGAGGCAACAGGATGGCACCCCACCCCTCAGAAACCTGCCACTTCACTGCACGCAAACACTGTGGATCACAAATAGCACGGGAGAATCACACTTCTGGGAAGAGTGAGAAACCAATTCCCAGCTGATCCTACCTGTCCCAGACATTCCTGCAAGGAACGCATCTCCTTGGCAATACCTTGTGTTAGCACAGCACAACAGACTCGCTGTGTGCCTGAGTGGAGACCGCATGTGAGATGATGCGAAGCAGGGAAGAGGTATCCTGCCAGCGGAGCCAGTATTTTCACACTGTGAGTGTGAGGAGCATGGGGAGTTCGGGGGAGACAGGACTCTCATCCTTCAAGAGAGAGAAAGGGCAAAAGGAGAGGGAGAGGAGAGGTGATGAAGTGCTTGGAAGAACAAGTCTGGTTTTCAGGATGGAAGCATGAATCAAATCCATCCAAGACAACCAATGAGTTTTGCTGGGTTGGCACATTCCTGAAGAGATGTAACAGGCTCAGAAGATGCTTAGCTGCAGCACCAGCTTTCCAACACTATGCTTCAAACAAAAGCCAAACCCTAACACAAGTTCTGGATCTCCAGCCTTTTCTTTCTTACAGTCTGTCTAAATGCACTAAAAGATAAAATTCAACCACATCAGCATGGAATTAGGACAGAGAATGAAGTTAAAAAAGCTCTTGATCTTTTTCTCGAGTAACTTTCTCCAAGACTATGATCCTGCATCTCCCTTTGCAGACTGAGGAAGTTATACATGCTACCCTAAAGACGTGACAGCAGCAGGGAAAAAAAAGGTCGTTATTTTAGTATAAAAAAAGACAATTTTGAACAGCAAGTGGAATTACTCTGTGATGCCTTTAAAACAAGTGCCAATAATTTTCATTTGTCAGTGGCAATGCTACAGCTTAAGCTGCGTGGAAGCAGATACCTTGCGATTCTCTCATTGTCGCTCGGCATGTCAATATCGGGATGGAACTGGTAGTGAAGAAATTCCGTACCAAAGAGGTCATACTCTAAATAGCATCCCAGGTTAGCAAATTCCAGAAGTTTCTTTGTATCAAATATAGTCCTGTAGAACATACATAACACAAAGTCAGCATTGTAACAGAAAGGAAAATAATCCGACAGCACAAGGATAGGTATTCTGTAACTTCCTACTGGCAAGGAACGAAAACAGTAAGATTGAATTCATCCTTTCGAAAACCAGGACGCCCGTTTGACACATGCACCTTAAGCTGACACACAGCACTGTCTTTCTCACATTCATCTGGGACTTCATGCGTTAAAAACCCCAAACCTAAACCAACTCTTCCCCCATGAAGTAACAAAAACATTTATGGTCATCTTGAAATGGAAGCAGGAAAGTTACTTACTTTTGGTATCACTAACCCTCTCACCAGACAACCTAACAAGGAAGGACATTTAAGGAGGAGGTTAATTCATGGTGACATTTGAAAAAAAGACAATGGATTACTTACACAAGACAGATTTACTTTCCCAAAAGAGTTACAGGAGACAGCTACATCCAGGGCTTGTTTCATCCATCACACTCCGGTGATACACAACTTTGTCTTTAGTTTCTGTTCTGCACCGTGATGTTGCTAGATTGTCATTAGAACAGCAATATATCACTGTTTGCACTGGGATCTGGCCAGAACGCCTTAAGGCAATGCTCTCACCAAAATATTTAATGGCACTGTGAGTACCTGGGATGTGGGCTTTGCAGCAGATTTGAAAAGTGAAGGAACAAAGCTACTAAACCCCCTCACTCGTCCAGAAAAGAATTGCAACTGAAATAAGAGCTCTCTGGAATACCTTTTTTTTTTTTTCCCCTTTGAAACAATTTACCAAGAGTATAAGCTATCCAAAGGGAAACAAAAACACTCAAATGATTAATTATAAATTTCTCTTTATAACCACGACATAATTTTTTTCATTTAAAGAAAAAACACGTTTCTATAAGAACAGTTAACCGCAAGGGCAGCAGTTTATTTTTGTTATTATTGCAGATATTGATGTCACAAAGTAATTCTACCCTACACAGTTACATCACAGTCTGTTGCTATGGAAATGACTGATGTCACAATTTCAATATTATGACTTAACAAGAGGATCAAGTAGGAGGAACAGATGGCTTGAGAGAAAGAAAACCCTTGTTCAAAGAAGCCTGCCATCAGCAGGAGTCTAAGGCTTGCCAACTGTAATTAATAAAAAATGTTATTTTAAAATAAATGTTACAGTTTACAGGGATTGAACATCTACCACCAAATGAGTTTTCAAAGTGCAGAGCAAGAGAACAGGTTATTTTAGATCCAGCCCTGCTCAGTTCACAGGGAGATGGTAGCCAGGAGTATTCAATGCTGTGCAGGTGGCAAAACCCACCCAACGATGTATTTTAAAATCACAGCCAGAACAATTTCCTTTTAAAACTATTGTTAGTGTTGTGCTTTTGGGTGCTCTGTCCCAACGAAGAGCAGGAGAGCTTCATTTTATCAGCCACTGGATCCCCTCCTAAGCCCCGTGGATGTAGCAGCAGCGGTTCTCAGCTCTAATGGCTAATCTCTGTGCTGGAATTAGGTGTTTGGGCAACACGTGTCCCTGAGCAGCCCTGAACACACTGAAAAGGAGATGCAGGGAAGCATCCTGTAGTTTGGATCGCCTCCATAAATCACCCCAGGGACACCCACCGAACCATTATCAAACAGTTGCTGTGAGCCTTCTAACAAAAGTTACTCAGTGAATGAATCAGTGTTGATCTCTACCAAGATACCTTTATAACCTTAATCCCTGATCAATGGCCAAACCCCAGACTCAATAGCTTTTGCTTCCCAGCCTTTATCTACACCATAGTTTCACTATGGACACTGCCACCTTTTGTTCTAAGGTGCTGAATTGCGAAACAGGGTAGCCAGCATTTTAGTTTTATCATTGGACTGTAAATCCACATGAAAACTACCATTCTGCCTGTGTCTTCTGACACTGCAGGCATGAATATGGAGCTATGTACAAATTTATCTCACATTTAAAGGACTGGGATGCTCCCACCTGGATTCTCCTCACTGGAAGACACTTAAAATGTTAAACCCACGTTGCAAAGCCAAATTCCACAGTAGTTTACAGTCTGTCTAACAGCAAGTGCCAACCTGAATGTGTGAAAGTAATGATAGGAGGAGTGTGAGGAAATGTCATACTGCGCATCAGCGGCTGTTAGTGAAACCGCACCTCTGTCTTGACTGTTTCCCTACTTATATTGCTTATTTCCCACCAATAAATCACTGAATTCAACCCCTTACAAGAGCATATAAAGGCAAAAAAACCTGTAACTGGATGTTTATGTTTTATCAAAATGGTTACCTAAGTACTGACACCTGCTGCTTGCTCAGTCCTACTTCATACAATGGTTTGTCATGAGTTTTCTTTAAAAATGAGGGGAAAATACAGCTAAAATGCAATGCCTGCATCATTTATATATAATCAAATATAAATAAAATTTCGTGCCACTGAATTTTATGCTCCTAAGATCCCCAAGTAAAACACAGAGCTCTGTATGAACACAAAACACCTGTAGCTTGATTTACAAGCTCTTAGAGCGTATAACTGTTAGAAATCTGGAGCGCAGTGCTCTTGCTTGTATTACTCTCTCACTGAGGGCAAACAATCCAATTGCTGAGAATCACATGACCACAAACAGTCTCCATTATTCAGCAACTGGCCAAACGAATCAATGCTTGGACATTTTCCAGCTCACCATGAGCAGCACAAGGTCACACAAAACTGAGTTGGTAGTAAGAGGCTGTCTTTCTAAAATGGAGAGAGAAAAGCATCCCAATTCCTCTCCATGTCTGATGTGGGGCTCCTGGTTTTTGCTCTCAAGGAAACTAAAAGTTAGCTCTCTGGGCTACCCTAAGAACTATCCAAAACCCAACCATTTTCTTTTTAAGCAACATTTCTTCTGTCTGGTAGCAGAACTGAAAAGATCTGGCTTCTGCTTTGATCCATCATCCAGCCAAATCAAGGAGTTCTCCATTAGTATCTGAGAGACTTTGGTCAGGACCTTACGAGTGGCTCAATTTTCAAAAACGTTGGAAGCCCAGCAGCTTCCCACCCAATGTGGTGAGAGCTGCTCAATGTCCAATGCTTTGTAAATGCAGAGATTCTTGCAGGCACACGAATTAATGGAATCGCCATTTTTTAAAAATGTGGCTACAGTTATTCCTAATCTTGCTCCCAGACCTTCAAAGAGGGTGTTTCACAGCCCCAAATCTCCTTATCGGTGTGAACCTAAAAGCTGGTCCTCACTGAAGTGCTGAAAGCTCATCAAGCTCTATATAAGCAGCTTCATATTTTTACGTCCACCAACGCGAAGATAATTCTTCCTGCTGTGATGCCAGCGCACAACCAAAACCTAGCTATTTTGCAGAGTGGTTCCCCCAGGCCTCAGCGGGTTGTGGCCAGAAGGACAACAGAATAGCCTGCTTACCTGTCGAGGTGAGACATGACTGTCTTGGAAGCATCAGCCCCAGCTTCCTGCAGAATGCGAATAATCTGGAAAGGCGCATCGCTGTTCCTGCCAGGATGGATGATAACGGGGCACCCAAGCTGTGACTGAGCCTGTGCAGTTGCCTGAAGCACTCTGCGTTCACTCTGAGTCAAGGGCCAGGAGCAACCGATTTCTCCCACCACACCACACCTGATGTTGGTCCCATCCGCTCCATGGAGTATCTCATCAACAATAATGCCCGTAAGCTAGAGAACAGGAAAATGAGATTTTTGGTTATTAATCCTCCTTGTGTTAAACAGCATCAAACTTGGCCTATGGACACTGTGCTAGTTATACTCCCGAAGTCTTTCTGCAGTCATTTAATTAAAGAATCGGGTGTGTGAAAACACTACCGTTAAAATATGGTTTCTGTCAACTAACGTTATGCTAGCCGTTCATTAAGACCAAAATAAACACAACGCAAAACAATTTTAACATAATCCACTCGCACGGGTTTGCTGGGAAAGCTGGTCCACAGAAATCTTGAACATTGATTTAGGTTGAGACTAATTTTTCTTAAAAAACACCCCAAAGTTAGCTGAGCATGAAACCTGTGCCTCACACTCCTGAACTGGCTCCAGAAACAATTCAATGTAATTTCTTGCAAAACAAGGGCTCAGAGAATAAGGAAACCTTGTCACTCGGATAGGGAAGGGAGAAACTCTGGCAAAGATCCTGAAGAAACAAGTTTAAGGTAGATCCTGCTTGTGGGAATGCTGACACAAAACAACTGGAGCTCTGCTGACTTCAGAACTACAAGAACAAAGCTCAGCTGACAAGCTTACAGGGTCAAAATTAGCTTGCTTCTAAAATATTCATAAGCAAAAAAGACATCAGAATCTCCTAATAAAAGCAGTTTGTTAGAACAACTTTAGTTTTTCTTCTCCAGAATAGGCCCTATATCTCAAAGAATACATTCAGAATTCAGAACACAAAATGGCACTGGTAATGATCTTCTAACTCTTTGGCCGTGAATGTTAGGGAAATCATGATTTTAAGGAAGAATAAGGTGAACAAAGAAGGAAGGTTGGCAAGCAAATCCAGGAAACCAAAAAAAACCCACACCAATTTTCAAATAAATCTGTAGCTTATGCTTACTGCACACCGTGTCTACTCAACAGCCTCATTCAACATGTCGGTAAATGCTCAATCTACACCCAAAAGTCTGGGGTAGGTGCCCGACACTTATCCTATGACACAGAATTCACTCCTCTCCTGAAGAACATCTGTCTCTGTGTCACTAAATAGCTCAGCTAGGGCTGGCAACAAAATATTCAAACTCTCTTTGCCTAATCAGAAAACTTATCATGACATCGAACCCACTGGCAAGTGAGGAACCACCGGTTATCACGGATCAGTCACTGCACAACCCCTTCTAAGTTACCAACTGTCTTCTGGGCTGGAGTAGGTATTGATGAGTACAGGACACCTGTGGGTCTCCAGCAGTCCACCAAATACAGAAGGGAAACCTTTGCTCCAAGAAATCTGTGTCAAATTTTAAGCTATGCAGGAATATTTAGAAAAACCAGTACTGTTCTGGCCAGCTTGGGTCCAGCGTGGATGGCAGCGCTGTATCACCGTACATCTGCTCAAGTTTTGACCACTGATTTTTGAAATGAATTTGACTCATGTGTAAACTGTGACAATTTTAATAGAAAAATAATTCTCAGCTCTGTTTATCCGCATTTGCAGCCTCCTGCCTTGGAGAGTTTCCTTCCCCCTTCTCCCTACCATCACATTTTTTTAATAAAAGATGAATGAATATGTATTATTATAGGAATACCTGGGGACCTTGGTTATTATTAATACATTGTCTTAGACACTGTACAAACAATTGAATGTAGAGTCTGCCCTGAAAAGTCTGGACAAATGGTAGAGAAGAGAGATACAACAGCCAGCCTGAGCAGAGCGATGATTTACAACTGTCCTGTTAAGTATTGCAATTACTTATGCTTTTTACAAGAATTCTGGGTGATCTCACTGGGAAGCAATTAGCCAGAGAGACAAAAGAGGCAAAAGGGATAGACTCCTTCCTTAAAAATTGGCAACAGACAGGATGATTGGTGTGGTACTAGATGCCCACACATGAAGTACTTTATTTTCCTTTTACAGTTGCATTGTAACAAATCCCTGGGAGTAAACTGAGTTTAAGAATTGGAAATGCTGACAGATAATCCCAGCACACACAAGTAGTGTTGGCCCAGCTGTAGCACACAAGCAGCAATGCTGTTCCCAAGTTTTTTTACATTGGGAGCGTCTATATTTCATCTATTTTGCCAGAACTTCTCTCCAACCCAGGGCATTATCCACCCAGGGATAATTCATAGGAGAGAGACTCCGAAGCAAAGGTTAAAGATTTACCTGCTCCACTGTCATGGCCTGTGTTTGAGAAGAATGAGTGGAATCCACATAAAATCCAGCCCCAGCAATAATATGGACTCCAGTTTCTTCAGCAAGTTTCTTCAAAGTCTTCATATCCCGACCAATTCCTGTGGTTGTGTTTTCCACGACTGTCCCACCACCTGCTGCTTTAAAATGCAACAACTCCTCCTTCACAGCATCTGTTTCCTGATACAAAAGAAGGTTTTCTTTATGGCTGTAGGGATTTTGCTTAATCCAAAACAAGTTCTTCATCTCGATGGGCCCATCAGACAGAGGCTCCTGGCCTGGAGAAGGTGGACAAAAAGAGCTGCTGTAGTTCATAGTCAGGTGTTCATGAGTCAACGTATAGCCAAGGCGGTCCGGATCCACAGGGCCCAAGACAGTCTGCACCTTCCCTCCCAAGGAAGGCATTTTTCTTCAACAGAAGGAAAAAAAAACCCTAATCAGATTAAAAAAAAAAAAAAGCCTGGAAAGGAAGAAGAAAGGAAACAAAAACATTTCAGATGGAGCAAACTATTCTTACAAGATTTCTGAATTCCCTCCTCTCTCTCACACATGTACGGACACGCCGTGTGTGTTCACTGGAAATTTTTCAAACACCATTTCCAGAAGAGTGGTCAACATGAGCATTTAGTTTACTCAACTGCACTTGTATCACTACTCTAGCAATGTAAAAATAGCACACTCCAGTACAGGGGAATCATCATCGTTTATTGTGCTACAGTCAGTATCACATTAAGATAAATGTTTCCTATTTAATAACAACCACTGTATGTTCATTTAGGATTCTCTGCTCTTCAGCAGCTGTCAAATTTTGTCAGCTTGAGCCACCAGATGAACGTACTTGGCACCAAGGCTGAATATTCCTTACTGGTACATTCATTTTATTTATCTGTGTCCTGCCAGGCTCACCACGCCCCTTGCACGCCGAGGAAGCTGTCTGTGTTTGGGCACTTTGTCCCTGTGTATGAGGAACGCTGAGACAGGGGTGATCACCTGCTCCTTCGGCTTCAACAGGGGCTCGGGTTCTCCTGCCAGCTGCACTGTGGAGGTCTGAACAGCCCGGGACAGCTCCTCCAAAGCCAACAACAGCTGCTCAAGACATAGCATGGCCCCAGCCAGCAGGGCAGAAGCCAGAGTGCTCCTCCCATCCGATTCATTGGCCAAATACTTTACCAGTTAAGAACAGGCCTTAACCTAACAATTTGTATGGCTCAGCCTCGAAGAGACTATTCTCTTCATCTTTAACATGAAATAAATAAACAATGATGTTTCTCAACACTTCAAAGGAGCATTGACGAAGACATACAGTGAGGCTACTGTCTGCAGCTGGTTCATGTCAAAGGCACCTGCCCTAACCAAGTTTGGCCTGACTCGCTACAGGTCAGAATTAGCTGCAGCTCTTCCCGTTGGGATTTTGGGGTGTTTTTTTCTTTTGGGAGCAGGGGTAGTCTTTTTCATTTATGTGCCACATTAACATTAAACATATCTGACTACCCAATTCATGTTAGATCTTCCTGATGCTAGCTGCAAAGGCTTGAGGATATATAGTTATAATCCCTAGTCAACCAAAATCATCAGTTATGAAACAAAATACATGTTTAATCATGTCCAGAGGACAGGACTAACTAGAGCATGCATTATTGATTAAAGAGAGAGGTCTTTCCCATTTCTGTCTCCCTTTTAGTGAATAGTATCATAAACACGGGTCTGTTGCTGGTCAAGCCCTCAAAGGACACATCCCTTTTAACTGCTAAAATTAATCTAGCAGCATGACAGAAAAACTGAAATCCGAAGGGCACTGAACTCTACATATCAAAGGGCACAAGAACGTCGAGGTCTCTTTGGGGATACTTTCATCTCACGAGAAGCAGTCATTGTCGGAGTACCAATGTAGGAAAGTGACCCAGCCCCTTCAGAAGGCGGGTAGGACCTGCCCAGGGAAGGCTGCAGTGCTGGCAGTTAGTTCACATGAAAACCTGGCCATCCATAAAAAAGGGAAAGGGCTGACTGACTGTGCTTGCCTTACGAAAAGGCAGACTTTGGACAAACCGTTCTTTTATGAATTTCATTTCTAGACTGGTGTGTTCACTTGTTTGAGAAGGCAGAAGAATAATTACTCTCACAGAACAGACTGCTGGCTGATTAATATACTGATTTATTTTTTGCCAAATAAATTAAGAAGTGCATGATTTCAGAAAATAATGTTCTTAAGCAAATAATTAAAAGCAAAATACCTGTCTTAGTCAGAAAGTGCTGCTAGCTGCAATTCAATTAAGTTGTCCAAGCCAGTCATTACTTCTATCCTTGAACGGAGCTGGTGCTCTATAGAGCAACCCACTATTTTGGAGAGGGTTCAGTGATCTGATTCATTTTTATATGCACAGCAAAGAGACTAATATAATTCTAAGATTTACCTTTGCTTGCCTTTTTTTTTATTTCCATTAAATATCTACACTCTGGTATTCAGTAAAACCCTGACAGCATAAAGAGTGATAACTGCTCTCTGCATTGGAGACACACTCCTCTGTCCCCACATTCACTGACAATTTTCAAGTCCATTTAGTAAGTTAGGAAAACAAACCTATACAAGTACTTTTGATATAATTAAATATATAAGTATTGATGTTCTTTTGATAAAACTTGACACAAAGGGATTACAGTCTGTTTACTTAACAAGTTTCCACTTCAGGTTTTTAGTTACTTAGTTGCGCAGTTACTCAAAAGGGCCATTCTAATTGAATGTGAATTTTTGCTCACTTTCAGATTACTAATTTGATAAAAAGTTGACTTTCAACATTTGTTCCCACTAATTCCTTTCCAACATAATTTGGATTACCCTCAATTAATCTGGCCTGACCACTGCAAAGACCTATGGTTGTGTGTTTGAGATCTTACAGCCTGAGGCTGCTGTCTTCTGATTTATAACTCCAGGAAACATTTAACATTACCAGTTCCAGTGCCAGGTTTCTCTTGTAGCAGGGAGCAATCTGTTGATTTTTAGACTCTAGATTTCAGATTATAGCACACAAGAGAGTTTACAGAACCAATGCCTACTACTGAACCTTTTGACTGTGGCCAAGGATTTTTATAAGAAGCATCACAAAAAAGGAAACTGACACAAAGAGCATTTAAAGTAGGCCTAATTTTGTCTGCATGAAAAATGTTATTAATATTAATGTCTGTGCCTGCTTACTAACACAGTTTTAGAAACCCACTGCTTTAAATAAAAAAAATATGAAAAATAAAGACAGCCAACAACCTGTGACTGGAATTATTTTTAAAACCACTGTCCTGGTATCTTCCCTACTGTCATTTACACAGACAGCATGCCCTGATTATCCTATAATGATACATTATTCCTAATAAGATTCACTTGATGGAACAGAATTTAATTAGTGTCTTTACAACAGATTTTAGGTGCAAACAGCTTTTAAATGGAATAAGGACTGCTGCTTAATTTAAGCATGTATATATTAATACAGAAATCAACGTTCGTGTGCTTAACTAATGACTTGCATGCCATGTTTTACACCGACCTTTCTTCTGGGAAAGTTTCTTCTTTCATACACCAAGGACTGAATTCGTATCACCTCATTTAGCCATCTAAAATGATGTATGTCTTCTACACAATAGTTAGTCATCGAGACCATTTTCGCAGTGGAGATGGAAAGACATATCCACAGACAACTCATCCAGCCTATTCTGAAGGTTTGTAATGGAACAGGACAAGTCCCTTTACACACTACCGGCCTCCTTCCATGGGCCACGGAGGGAGCCAAAAACCAATCCTGGCCAATACAAGTATATTTCAGATGGTCCTACGCAGGATGTGTGAACTGTATTTACAGCACCTTAACCCAGTCTGAAGGGAGGGGGAAAGGTGCAGATTCCTGTGGCAAAAGATAAACAGGTAGGCTCTTATCTGGCAATAACAGGTATTTTGGGGTTGGAAATCACTATCTTGTGCCATGGCATCACCAAGGTGCTCCTGCATAGAACAAGACCCCTCTGCTCTAGGTGCTGTATAAACAGAGAAATAAATGGTATTTCCTGAAAATTACATATTCGGATAAAAAGAAAATGAGACTTGATTAAGATGTAAGCAAAACTTGCCTCATTTCACAACAGCCTTGAAATAGTACCTTAACATTTCTGTAATAAACTCTGGACAAATCTTTACAGCGACCAATTGTACAGTACATGAAATACAACACTCACCGTTAGCCAACCATTAAATATTGGTGAAGTAAATATTTTTCCTAGAGGCATTGTTAAGAGGAAAGAGACTTGCTGCTAAAAAGGTCATGGTACTGCATCCCTGCCTCTGGTAAAAACTCCACTGAGTTCAATAGATGTTTTGCCTGAATACTGATGACAAGATTTGTGTTTCCGCTTTTCCCATCTGAAACTTTGCGCTACACTCTCTGTGTCATTTTAATGGTCTTGTAATGGGAAGTCTCTCTAGGTTTGGATTAGTTGCTTCCTACGGTAATCTCATATTGCTGAAACATTATAATCCCATAAACGCAGTTCCCACATGCTAATGCCGCATTCGTTTTGATTCGGTAAGCACATTTTAATGCTATTAGCACAGATACTGTCTAGACTTGTATGGGAGTCATTTTACTGCCGTTACACTACAATGTGAGATCACAGCGACGCTACACCCAGATTGCCGTGACACAAAATGTACAATAAAGCAAAAAGAATGGCTCAATATTTATTATATTCAGAAAAAGTGAATCACAGCTACCATTCAGGAACCAGGCCTGCATCAAGAGCGCTGTAAGTAGGTCTTTCCTGTATAACCATGCAGTCCTAGGAAATGTGACAGAGCACAGGTTCACTATATATTTACAGATGGAGGAAAGACTTGGAGCATTCAGTTCTACTGTGAGCAATCTCTATGGAGCATGGAAAACCCCCAAATTAGAAATATGACACATCTGTAGTAAATTACCATTAGCTAGTCTGTGCTGTTTCTGACAGATGGGTGCCAGATCTACTTTACCTTCTTCAAAGATTTATTTACAAGCACTAATTACAGGACAAACACGCCTGAAACCCAGCTCTCTCATACACTGGCTTCAAAAAGCACAGTTTTTTTGCTCAGGCACAGTGTCAGGGAATTGCAGCTACTTGGGGCTGTGGAGCAGAGTCCACCGCAACCGCCAGCGTGAAAGCAGCAGCAGGAGTGAACCTGCATCTGCTCCAGAGGAGCAAGTACAGGCTTACCTGTCACACAGCTCAGCAACTCCCTCTGCATCAACATCTGCAAAGGTATCCAACAGCCTGTGACGCCATACGCCTACACGGGTACTCTCACAGCACCACTACTTGTCTCTGTGTTACACGAATGTGCTGGTTTGGGCACATCTCATATTGCTTTTGGGCTATTTTGCCCAAGAAACAGAACTGGGAGTAAAAGTACTATAA